CCGGGCACGGCCGCGGCTTCGGCCCGCTGGCGGCGGCGGCCAGGAGCTTGGCCGAGCTCCAGCTGGGGGCTGACATCGAGGCGTGGGCAGGCGTGCCGGAGGCGCCGGCCGGCTGGCGACCGGCTGAGCGCGGGTTGCAGGCGACCAGGCGGGTGCTGCTGGAGGCGTGGGCTCGCAGGGAGGCTCGGGAGCTGGCGGGGCGCCGGGCCATGTTCGGGCACGTGGCCGCCGGCGTCGATCGCTGGGCAACCCGGCGGGTCCTGCGGCAGGGGCGTCTCGCCGCCGACGCCGCGGGCGCGCTGCGCACAGTATTGTCTGGCAACGTGGTCACGGAGAGCGTGGCCTCGAAGTGGGGTCGCCCAGCGGGCTGCCCGCATTGCGGGGCGCCGCTGGAGGACGCCAAGCACCGCTTCTGGGATTGCCCGCGCTGGGACTCAGCCAGGCACGCCGCCTTCGCGACCACCGGGCTTACCCCCGCGGCGGCGCGGGCTTGCCTGCCGCCGGAGGTGGCCCTGACGGGGGTCCTGCCGCGGGACGCGCGCCTGGCCGCTCTGGCTGACCAGGCGGCGTGGCCGCTGCCGCCGCCGGCGCTGCCCAGCTTGGCCGCCGCTGCCGCGGGGGCTGCGGGCCAACGGACGCGGGCGTGGACCGACGGCGCCTGCGTGCACCCGGCCGACCCCCTGCTGGCTAGGGCGGGCTGGGGGGCGCGCGCGGAGCACCCTGCTGGCGCGCTGGAGCGCGGGGGCCCTGTCGATGGCGAGCAGACGGCTCAGCGCGCCGAACTCTCGGCTGCCTTGCGCGCGCTGGGGCTGGCTGGTGGGCCGGTGGAGGTAGTCACGGACTCGAAGTACGTGAGCAACGGCGTGGCGGCGCTCCGGGGCTGGGCAACGCCTATGGAGTGGTCGCACGCCGACCTCTGGGACCGGCTGGCCCCTTACTGCCGGGCCGACTGGCTGAGGGCACGCTGGGTCAAGGGCCACCTGGACGAGGCGGAGGCGCTGGGGAGGGGGCTCCCCCACGAGGACCACGCCGGCAACGCGGCGGCCGACAGGCTAGCTGGGGCGGCAGCGCGGGCGCGGCTGCCCGCCCCGGCACTGCTCCAGCAGCGGGAGCGGCAGCTGCAGGCGCTGGAGGGGGTCCAGCGGGCTCTGGCGGCGGTCGAGCTGGCGGCCCTCAAGGCCAACCACGACTGCACCGCGCCGGGCGGGCCTCGGGTGCGGCGCCGCTGGACGACAGTCCGGCGCTCGGCAGGGCGGCGGCGCGCGGCGGCCGCCGGCGGCGGGCCGCCGCAGCCGGCAGCGCCGCGGGCCCCGCAGCCCCTGCGGCACCCCAAGCCGCAGCCCGCAGCGGAGGCCGCCCAGGCGCTATTCGGCGGGCGGTCCTGGCGGGCCCACGCCGCCTCGCAGGGGCCTGGCTGGGTCGCCTGCCTGCAGTGCGGCTGCACGGCGCCGCGGTGGGGCGCCTTGGCGGCACGCCCGTGCGCGGGCTGGGCCCCCGCCCTGCCGCCGCGCGTGGGCGCGCTGCTCCTGCTGCCGCCGGCGCGTGCCGGAGGCGACGAGGGCGCATGGCGCGCGGCCCTGCGCGCCCGCCAGGCCGCGCGCGCAGGCGCGCCGGAGGCACCGAGTTAATTTGGTGCAGTGGCTGTCCCCCCTGCCCCGCCCCTCCCTCCCTCCCCCCCCCTGCTTCCCCTCCTCGCCACTGGGCCCCCTTTGCGCTTGTAAAAAAAAGTGCCGGCACGTGCGGCAGCGTGCAGCGAGCCGGTAGGCCCAGCACAGGTCCCGTCCCGGACACGCCCTGGGGGCGCAAGCAGGGACCCCCCCCCCAGTGCAAGCGCCGTTTGTGGTGCAGTTGGACCGAGGCACAAGATCGAGGTCGATTCGGGGAGGGTGCCCTCATGTTCGTCGCGTGTTGTTGGATGTGCTTGTTCGTCGTGTTTGTTGGATGCTCTTGTGCACCCTGGGGATGGTGCCCTTGGACGTTCTGCTTGTTTTGGCCGACGGAGGGTCTCCTGTTCTCGAGGGATGTTCATCTGGCCTGGGTCCGACTGTGCCAGCGAGCTCAAGGGTGGGTGGGCGTGGTAAGGCTTCGGGGTGCGCGCGGACAGGCCCCCCCGAGTAGTCTCAGCTGGCCTCACGCCGGTCGTTGAAAGTAGGTATTTTTGGATTCCCAGATGCCAATCTACTTCAAGCGCCTTCCCACTTCAAGAGTCGACACGCTTTTGCTGTGTTTTGTTGTTCCTCTGGGGGGGCCTGGGCCCAATGCACTAGATTCGCCTTCCTACTTCCTGCTTCTACTTACTTCTTTCGACCGACGTGTAGCCTGGGGCGGTCTCGGCGCCCCAACCCTGGGGCGCGGGGCGCCCGAGGGGCGCCCCTGGAGGCGCCGGGGTGTTGGGACCGCCCCGGGCTGCTCGGAGGGCCGGTTGAGGCCCAGTGGGACTACTTCGGGAGCTTCGAGACGGGGGTCAATGCAAACGGGGGTCAGCCAGGACACCGGATCCTGCAGGATCCTGCGAAGACCCCTTCTGGCTGACTCGGGTTAGCAAGCCGCTCGTGGCCCGCGAGGCGGTCGCGCATCTTAGCTGACCCGGGATTGTGATTGCGAAGGCCTGCGTTGCAGTTTTTTATCTTGCACTGCAGTTTTTTCCCGGCGGAGCCGGGTGAAATTCCGTGCCCGCCGGTGACTGACTGATTGATTGACTGATTGACTGACTGATTGACTGATTGAACGTCAGGAGGGCACCTTGAACAACACATTTCAAACCGCCCGCGGGCGCGCAAACGCAACTGAGCGACACATTCCAATCCGCCCGCGGGCGCGCAACCGCAACCGCAATTGGGCGACGCATTTCAACCCGCCCGCGGGCGCGCAAGCGCAACCGCAACTGGGCGACACATTTCAAACCGCCCGCGGGCGCGCAACCGCAACTGGGCGACACATTTCAACCCGCCCGCGGGCGCGGAACCGCAACCGCAACTGGGCGCCACATTTCGACCCGCCCGCGGGCGCGCAACCGCAGCCGCAACTGGGCGACACCATTCAACCCGCCCGCGGGCGCGCAACCGCAACCGCACCTGGGCGACACATTTCAAACTGCCCTCGGGCGCGCAAGCGCAATTGGGCGACACATTTCAATGCGCCCGCGGGCGCGCAACCGCAACCGCACCTGGGCGTTACATTTGAACCCGCCCGCGGGCGCGCAACCGCAACCGCAACTGGGCGACTCATTACAATCTCCCGCGGGCGCGCAACCGCAACCGCACCTGGGCGTTACATTTTAACCCGCCCGCGGGCGCGCAACCGCAACTGAGCGGCACATTTCAACCCGCCCGCGGGCGCGCAACCGCAACCGCAACTACGCGGCACATTTCGACCCGCCCGCGGGCTCGCAAGCGCAACCGCAACTGGGCGCCACATTCCAATCCGCCTGCGGGCGCGCAACCGCAACCGCTACAGGGCGACACATTTCAACCCGCCCGCGGGCGCGCAACCGCAACCGCAACTGGGCAACACCTTTCAAACCGCCCGCGGGCGCGCAACCGCAACTGGGCGACACATTTCAATCCGCCCGCGGGCGCGCAACCGCAACCGCACCTGGGCGTTACATTTTAACCCACCCGCGGGCGCGCAAGCGCAACCGCAACTGGGCGACACCATTCATACCGCCCGCGGGCGCGCAACCGCAACTGGGCGGCACATTTCAACCCGCCCGCGAGCGCGCAACCGCAACCTCAACTGGGCGACGCTGCACCGCAACCGCAACCGCACCGCTCACCTGCCGTCCTCCTCCAGGGGATCTGAGGTGGAGGAAGGGTGGGAGGGAGGGGGGAGGGAGGAGGGAGGCGGGAAGGAGGAGGAAGTACGAAGGGAGGGAGAGGAGACGGAGGGAGGGTAGAGAGCTCACAATGATTGGGGGTGGACAACTTCTGCCCCCCCCCGTTCCACGCAAGTGGATCTTCACAAGGCTCCAGACACTGGATTCCTTATTCAAGGCCTCCACGGTCTGCTAGCAGGATGGGTGGGTTAACCGCCCCCGAGGGGGGAGACGAGGCTTTGACAGGAGCGGTCCGCTGCACCGCCTAGTTTGAAGTTGGGGGGGGGCGATGCCGCGGGGATCGATTGCGCGTTCACCCGCGCGCAAGCTGCCCGCGGATGTAGGTGCACCGGCGCCGCCTTATTCACGCAGCCTGCCGCGTCTTATTCATGATCTGGCGCAGGAGCAGGTGGAGGAGGAGGGGGGGGAGGACGAGGAGGAGGTTAAGGGAGGAGGAGGAGGAGCAGCAACAGGACGAGGAGGATGAGGAGGAGGAGGTGGAGCAGCAGCAGGACGAGGAGGAGGAGGAGGAGGAAGACCAGGATGGCCAGGAGGAGGAGGACGAGGGGGAGGGGGATGCCAGGGTGGCGCCGCCCGGGAAGGTGCACGAGCAGGTGTTTGTTGCGGAAAACTGGGGAGGATGAGGTGGTGGACGTCAAGGAGGATATGGGCGTAAAAGTGGATGTCCTCCTCGCGGCCTCCGGGCGTGACCCGCGGTTTTCCGCCGGGACATTGCAGCGAGGAATCTCCATTCCACGCTGCTGCCTCTGATTGGTTTCCTGCTGACCCGGGTCTGGATTGACCCGGGTCAGAAGATCCCCGACTACTCGGGGGGCCTTTCGAGGCCAGCTTGGACTACCTGGGGGGGTTTCGGTAGCAAGTCGTGGGGGCCTTGCGTGTCCTCGCGTTCGGGTGCATGAGCGTGCGCTGGCGTCTGGCAGTCGATGAGAAGGCGCCGATTTGGCGTCAGTGCTGGGGCCGATCGAGCGCCGGTTATGGCGTCGACTGGCGTCGATTTGTCGACGAATCAGCGTCGGTCCGCGTCGATGCGCCACAGCCCGCAAGATGGCACGGGAGGCTCCCGCCAGCTGCCGCACGAGGGGGGCCTGTCTGCGCGCAGCCCGAAGCCTCGCCACGTGGGCGAGTCGACGAGGGGGCGCGCCTGCGCGCGCCCGCGGGCGCCCAGGCTGTGGAGCAGGAGCAGCTTTCCCAGCTCGCCGGAGGCACTGGGCGGCCTTCGCCGCCGCCGCCGTCGCCAGGAGGCGAATATTGGGAGCAAGTTTGTGCTGCGCCAAACCTGTTTTGACTAAGTCCCAGGATTGAGATGATCTGCAGACATCTCCGGCATACGACACGGGCGTGTTCAAGTGGTCCAGCCTGCAACATCAAGAGCGCAGGGATCGGCTCACGATCCGACATATATTTGTAATAATCCAATTTCGCGTTGCACATCTGCCGTTGATCCTGGGATTTCGCGTTGGGCGTCGCGCAATAGGAGGACGATGGTTGGGCGGGCAGCGAGGGCTGCAGGAAAGCTGCCTTTTAGGGTCCAAAAGGGAGCCTCTGGGGCCCAAGCGGTGCACCTTTCTCCCCCCCAATTACCGCCCACTCGACGTCATGTTTCTTGTTGTCGTAACGTCGACCCCCAAGAGGTCTCGACCCGTTCCCAAGGATCGTTTTTTCATCCTGAGTCGTTTTTGGCAGGTCCCTACAGCCAAGACGCTGAAACAAGGACCGCTTTGGCTTCGGAAGGGGCTCGGGGGTTTGGGTCGCTCCTTCGATTCATGTCGCGGGATCTGTTTGTGGCCTGGGCCCGCCGTGGCTGGAAAAGCCCATTCGCTCCTTGTGTGGCGTTCCTTCTCGTAGCACCTCGACCCCTACGCCCGGCCAGGGGGTCCGGGGCTCGGGGGCAGGCAGGCCGGCAGACCTTCGCAGGCCGTGTTTTCTCCCCCTTTTTGTCGACGTCTCGATGAGAGACAAGGGCTCCCACCGAGGGCGCGAAACTATTCGCGCTTCGCGGTCCTCGTTCCTTCTCCCCCTCCTCCTCGTCCTCCTTTTCTGCCTTTGGGGGGGCGCGCGAAGCGCGAAGTTGGGAGCCCTAGAGAGATGAAGCCGCTCAGAGAAGGAGGGGGGCCCTGGGATGCACCCCTTCAAGGGGACCTATTCGAACGCACCCCTATCGAAGATGGACTCCACCCCGACGTAGATCCAAGGGTTGGGCTCAAAATTGCTGGTTCAGTCGCAAACACCACAGCCTCGGATAGGGAACGACACATCCCCTGTTATACCTCGATGGATCCTCGACGGGTTGCTTAGATCCTCGTTTGGGGGACCTTCCTGGGGCCCACCTAACGGACCCGTTCGGCCCTAGTTCGACTCCAGTTCCACTCAGGTTCGATAGCTTCGACTCGAGTCGACGGAGGTTCGATAGCTTCGACTCGAGTCGACGGAGGTTCGACGCAGCTTCGACGCACGAGTGGAGCGAGTGGCTTCAGGAATGCCCCCATAATGAACATCTAAGATTTCAGAGGAGGACAGGGTGGAGGAGGAGGAGGTGGAAAGAGGAGGAGGAAGAGGAGGAGGAGGAGGTTGAAGGAGGCGGAGGAGGAGGAGGAGGTTGAAGGATGCGGAGGAGGAGGAGGAGGAGGAGGAGAAGGAGGATGAAGAGAAGAGGTCTTGGAGGAGAGGTGTCGACCTGGAGGCGTTTCGTCGATCTCGGCCTCCGTGTGTCCTCCACGGGCAGCCGCGACTTGTCGGAACACGGCCCCGCGGGGAAGCCCAGGGGCTCAGCAGCACCCGTCTCCACCAGAACCCCGCCCCCTCATGTCGAGAGGGCGACGAGGAGGGAGGATGGAGGAGGAGACGGAGGAGCAGACCAACAGAAGGAGGCACAAAGGAAAAGGGGGGCGAGGAGGCAGGAGGGGAATGATGAGCAGGAGCAGGAGGACCAGTGTAAACCCAAGAGTCATCAACGATGTTGGAATCAACCCTCCCTCCAAGCTCCCTCTTCACTGGCCCCTACAACGGTTCATCTCCACTGAGGGAACTGCCTCGTTGGAAGGCAACTGTTTGAAGACCCTCATGCATGCCAAAGCGTTGTTCTCGGAATTCCAACGTCAAGGATCAACCCAAGGATCAACTGACTGTTGCGTCTTGACGATCCTGAATCGTGCCAGAACGCCATTCCTGGGACTTCGACACCGCGAATCAACGTAACTGTTGCACCCTCAAATTCCTGAATCCTTCCGAAACACCATTTCTGGTACGTTGATCCTGAGAATCCGCGAGACTCTTGAATTTTCTGAAAAAGCATGAATGTGCGCGGCGCTGAAGGCGAAAGCCACCTTTTGAAAACGACCTGCCCTCAATCTGTGACTCGTGCAAATGTTTACCACGAATGTGCGCGGCGCTAAGGTGGGAGCCACATTTTGAAAACGACCCGCCCTCAATCCGCGAAACTGCTGCAGCTTTTTAAGTATTAGCGAATGTGCGCGGCGCTGAGGTGAGAGCCGCATTTTCGAAACCACCCGCCCTCAGTCCGTGACTCTGGTAAATATATTTGAAGCGAATGCGCGTGTGGCTAAGGCGAGAACCGCATTTTGAAAGCGGCCCGCCCTCAATCCGTGAAACTCTTGCAAAGTTTACAAGCGAGTGTGCGCGGCGCTAAGGCGAGAGCCAGATTTTGAGAACGACCCGCCCTCCATCTGTGAAGCTGTTGCCAATGTTTAGCTTCAGGGTCATCAATGGTGAGGGCTCAGGCGATACGCCCGGCCGCATTAAAAGCTGGCGTCGGGGTGCGACAGGGAGAAGTTATTCATATAAGGAAAAGTAGGGGAGGAGACGAAGGAGGGCCAGGATAGCAGGAAGGAGGGGAACACAGAAGGAGGAGGAGAAGGAGCTCGGAGCTCGGGGATCCGCGAAGGGGCGCCGTCGCAGGAGCTCGTCCGGGAGGCATGCCGCTCTCCCGGTAGGCAGCAGGCGGCTTGAAGGGCAGGATAAGGAGACTCGGGGCAGGCCATTCTCGTGATATCAGCGCAGAGCGAAGGGATGAGGGCGAAGAAGCTCCAGAGGGATGCGGAGGAGAAGGGTGCAGCAGGCACACGCGGAATGAGGGATCGGCTTGCCAGCGGGTGCCCCGGGGTAGTGGCGCATCTGCCACCTGAGCCCTGGGGCACCTCGCGAAGCACAGAGTCCGTACAGCATGGATTTGGGGGCCGCATCTGCCCGCTGCGACACCGTCAAGCCGCATCAGAAGGACGAGTATCGCCTGCCAAGGGTGCCCCTGCACCCCTGCCCCTCGGCCCAGCCCTCAGGCTCCATCTCGATCCGATCCGATCGATTCGATTCGACATCGGCTCCGTCTGGCTCGATCCGATCCGATCGATTCGATCCCGACGAGCGGGCGATCCGACGCGGCCCCGTGCTGGCATGGCGCTGTTCTGCATCATGGCGCCGCCGCTCCGGTTCGGTTCCGACTCCAGGCCGCTTCGGCCCGATCCGATGCACGTTTCGATCCGATCCGATTTCTCGATCCGGTGCTGGTTGCGCCTGATGATCCGATTTTCCACCACCATTAGCAAAAGGTAGGAAAGGGAGGAGGAGGAGGAAGAGGAGGAGGGGGACCTCCCCATCCTCCTTCCCCCCGGTCCTACATGTGGTAGCGTTGGTTGAAAATCGGCCCATCAGCTCCTGTCCTTGGCCACGGGCCGTAGGCTTCCGACTTCGGCCGCAGCTTCGGGAGATAAGGGGGAGCGACACCACCACCACCACCACCACCACCACCACCACCACCACCACCACCCAGGAGGGGCCACACTCCAGCTGCGCTGGAGAACATCATCATCATCAACATCATCATCATCATCATCATCATCATCATCATCATCATCATCATCATCATCATCATCATCATCATCATCATCATCACCACCACCACCACCACCACAAGCAACACCACCACCACCCAGGGGGGCCACCTCCCGCCGCCTCCCGAGGTCCCCCGAAAATGTCGATCCCGAGCATCCAGCGGGGGGCGAGCCATTTCAGGAGGAACGATCTGGGGGCATCGGCTCAGAGGGGAGCGCATCGACCCCCAAAAATCGCCAACTCATCGCCGATAGGTGCCAGGTATCCCACCCCGCCCAGGAACGTGTGGTCTTCGCTTTCGGGCGCTTGCCGACGATGGCTCGCCGATTCCAAGCCGATGTTGCCCGCCCTCTCCGGGCTGGTCCCCCCTGCCGATCCCTTCCGAAAAGGAGGGGGGGCCGGGTGGTCAGAAGTTTTCATCGGTAGTTCTCGGAGGTCTTGTCGCCCGTAGGGGTTTTCGGAAGTTTTCTCGGTAGTTCTCGGAAGTTTTCTCGGTAGTTCTCGGAAGTTTTCTCGGTAGTTCTTCATCGGTAGTTCTCGGTAGTTCTCGGATGCTTTCCAGGAGTTGCTCCTCGTCGAAGGCTGCCCGAGGGGGGGCCGAAGCGTTCCGGACGGCCGCCAGAGGCCCGACCCGAAAGCCACCAGGCGCCGCCGCGGGGACCGCAAGGAACGGCCTGGGATGGAAAGCCGGGGCCCTAGAAGCCGGTCCCTGAGAAGGCCTCAGGGCAAGCCCCAGGGTCCAGATCTTGACCTTCCAGGAGCGGATCCTATGATGGCGAGGGGCGGTGAGGTTCGTCATCGTCTCGTGCTCCCGAGGGGTCCTCACCAGGCCCCGAGCCGTCCTAGGGAAAGCCCCGTCCAGAGCCAGCCCCCCAGGACCGGGTATCCTCTCTTGCACTTCTCCTGCCGCATCACCCAAGAGCTCTCACCAGCTGCCACTCTGCAGAGTTGCTGCTTGCTGGCGGCGGTTTGCACCGCCCTGACTATGCGCTTGGTTGCTGTCCCTGCGTGGTTTTCGGGCCTCGGTTCCTTCCTCGGTCGGTCCCTCCACCGTGCTCTCTCCCTGGCCCTCGCTTCGCTCGGCTTTGGTGGCCCTGTGACTCAAACCCACGTCCAAACAGAACGCATGCCCAAGAGTCTCGTGCCGTGAGGGTCCTGGAGGAATGGACCCCGCACCGATGATGGGGTCCTCCCAGAACCGTGCCGACCGACTATGCGAGGGTTTCCCTGGTCGCTCGGAGGTGCCCGCAGGGGTCGACGAGATAATCTCTCCGTGTCCGAGGGTCGCTGGAGACCGCGATGGCCACAGCGCTTCGTGTTGCGCGGGGTGCGCGGACAGGCGTCCCAGATTCGACTGCAAGCGAGGGGTGGTAGTGAGAAGGAGAAGGCCCTCTCAGGAGGCGGCGGGGCTCAGAAGGCCCCCGGCCTTCTGAGAGGTTCTCTTTCTCTTCGGGGAAGGCTTAGAAGCTTCTCAGAAGGCCAGGGGGCTTCCAAGCCTTCTGATATCCCCCCCGCGCTGGCGGCCGACGGATTCCGCGGAGTACTGCCAGTTGTGCGCTCCCGCAGCAGTGGCTGTGCAGTCCCGGGCGATAGTGCCGCGCGCTCCCCGCGGAAGGCGTCAAACACACGCAGGAATGCAAGAAGAAACGACGACGACGATGACGATGACGATGACGATGACAATGATGTTGATGATGATGATGATGATGATGATGATGGTGGTGATGATGATGAGTATTACTGAATGATGAATGATGGACTGTGAACGGTGGTGAACACCATAATGAGTAATAACGGTGGTGGTGACGATGGAAAGAGTAGTAAGACTGAACATCATAATGCGAAAGCAATAGTAATGTGTATTTAATGCCGCGATTAGCAGTAGTATTAATCGTAATCGTATTTTTAAATAGCAATAACGATAATGATGGTGATGTTGATGCTGCTGATTATGATGATGATGACCATGATGCTGCTGATGATGGTGATGACGCAACTGATGGTGGGGATGCTGCTGGTGATGACGATGACGATGAGGATGGAGATTCGGATTAGGATGATGGTGAGGATGATGAGGATGATGACGAGGATAAGGATGATGATGATGCTGAGAATGACGAGGATGATGATGCTGATGGTTGTGATGGTGGCGATGATGATGATGATGATGATGATGATGATGATGGTGGTGATGATGATGATGATGATGATGGTGATGACGGTGATGATGATGCTGATGATGATGGTGATGGTGAGGATGACGATGGTGATGGTGATGGTGATGGTGCTGCTGATGACGGTAATGGTGCTACTGATGATGCGGATGATGGTCTTGATGTTGAGGCTGGCACTGGAGCTGATGATGATGATGATGTTGCCGCTGCTAATCATGATGAGGATGATGATGATGATGATGTTGTTGATGATGCTGATGATGATAATGATGATGATGGGGATGTTGATGAGGATGATGAGGAGGATGATGATGTTGATGATGATGGTGATGACGATGCTGCTGCTGCTGCTGCTGCTGATGCTGCTGATGATGATGATGCCGATGGTGATATGAGGATCGCGTTGGCGACGATGATGTTAGTGAGTTGAATGGTGTTCATGATGGGGACGATGATCATGACAAGTTGTTGACCTTCCTTGTCAGAGCCCCGTGATAACTGGTATGTAGCAGGCGTGGCGCTCGGGCAGCCAAATGAGCAGCCGCCGATCAGGGGGACACTTATGTATCCGTTCGCGGCCAGACGATGGGGATGCCTCGAGCGAGACGACCGTTTCGAACCTCCGACTCCTCTCTTGTGAGAGTCCCGTGATCACCGGGGTATGCCGGGCCTGGCGCCTGTGCCGGCCAGGGGCTGTGGCATTGCCCCCGTTCACGACGCCCAGATTGTGAGGATGGCTGTAGCCGTTGGCTCGTGTGGCGTCCCCGACTCCGCGCTTCTGCGAGCGTCAGGATCATCGCGGTGCAGCAGGCAGGCCTTCCAAGTCGGAGCCGTCGGGGAGGGGGACGCTTGCCCGTTCGCGGCCAGAGTGTGGGGAGGATTCGAGCGAGGCGTGGTTTCGGTACCCCTGGCTCCTTGCTTTTAGCCCCGTTTCCCCGCCGGCGGGGCCGGCCGAGCCGCTCGCTCCCGGTGTGACCCGTCCCCGAGAGCGGCTCCTGTTCCTTCTCTCCTCCTTCGGACGCCCACCCTGTCTCCTTCCATTTCCTGCATCGTGGCACGATTCGCTTCAACGGCAGCCCCGTTGTCAGTGCTCTTCCGCCAGCGCAGTTACTCTGCCTAGCCGCCGACGCAACAAGTTTTTAGCCTCATGGTCACCGCAACGTAGCAAGAACAGCATTCGGGCACCCCTAGGGGCGTCGCACTTTCCCTTCGCGGCCAGGCCGTGGGGGCGTCCCAAGCGAAACGCTGGTTGGGGTACCCGGGTACCCTCGATTCATGTCTTTTCGAACTTCCGATATCATCTCGACGTGAGTCGCAGGCATCGCACTTGAGCGCTCCAATGGAAAGCCGCCAGGCAGCGCCCAGTCGCCACAGGCCACGTAAGACTCTCCCGCTCAGACGCTCACAGCTGGAATTGCCAGGGAATGGTTGGCACACATACATGGAGGAGCTCCGCGCTTGATGCTTTCCTCACCTCCCTTCCCCGCCCCACCCCTCCTGCGCAGCCGCGTCGGCCGCCAGGGCCTCCCTGCGGCCCTCGCGCTCTCCTGCCGCCCCCCCCCCCTTTTCGGCGCCCCGTGGTCGCCCCCGTCCGCGCGTGCACCGCCCGGGCATGCGCGTGTCCGTGGTCACCTGCGCCGGGCGAGAGCGGCCGCGCGTGCCAAGGGGCGGCCCTTCGCCGGGGTGGCCCTGGAAGGTGCGCGGCTTCCCGGGGGCCCAGGCACGCGGGCCGCCGCTGTCGCCTCGCACGCAGCGATCGGCAGGCCGCACACCGGAGGGCCACTTCCTGCGCGCAGCCAGCGAGAGCTGGCGGCCCTGGACGCCAGCCCGTCGTGGCGGCTGCGGGACGTGCTCGCAGGGACGCCTGCGCAAGGTGGCGCGCCAGGCGGCCAGAGGCGGGTGTTCCTCGGGGAAACGGAGCTTCGCGGCGGCAGGACCCTGGCCGAGATCGGTGCCACTGGCGGCAGCGAGCTCACTCTAGTGGCGACCTTCGCGCTGAAGGTGCTGACCGCCTCTTCTGACCTCACTGCGAGGATCTGGTGCGCGGAGTCTGGCCAGTGCCTGCGCACGCTAGGGCGCCACGACAGTTTCGTGAAGTCCGCCGTGTTTTCGCCGGACGGATTGAAGGTGCTGACCGCCTCAGATGACGGCACGGCGAGGGTCTGGTGCGCGGAGTCTGGCCGGCGCCTGCGCACGCTGGATGACCACGACAGTTTCGTGAGTTCCGCCGTGTTCTCGCCAGACGGGCTGGAGGTGCTGACCGCCTCCAATGACGGCACGGCGAAGATCTACTGCGCGGAGTCTGGTCAGTGCCTGCGCGCGCTGGATGGCCACGACAGTGTCGTGAAGTCCGCCGTGTTTTCGCCGGACGGATTGAAGGTGCTGACCGCCTCCAATGACGGCACGGCGAAGATCTGGTGCGCGGACTCCGGCCAGTGCCTGCGCACGCTGGAGGACGACGGCGTGGTGTCCGCCGTGTTTTCGCCGGACGGGCTGGAGGTGCTGACCGTCTCCCTTCGTGATGGCACGGCGAACATCTGGTGCGCGGAGTCTGGCCAGTGCCTGCGCACGCTGGATGGCCACGACGGTTGTGTGAAGTCCGCCGTGTTCTCGCCGGACGGGCTGGAGGTGCTGACCGCCTCCCTTGACGGCACGGCGAAGATCTGGTGCGCGGACTCCGGCCAGTGCCTGCGCACGCTGGAGGGCCACCGCGGTTACGTGCTGTCTGCCGTGTTCTCGCCGGACGGGCTGGAGGTGCTGACCGCCTCTTCTGACTGCACGGCGAAGATCTGGCACGCGGACTCGGGCCAGTGCCTGCGCACTCTAGAGGGCCATAACGATGTCGTGCGTTCCGCCACGTTCTCGCCGCAGTGAGCGCAAGAACTTGGTCTCGGTTCCGTAGGGGGAGGGGGTGGTGAGCGAGCCCATGAATTAGTCTTGGGAGACGGGGTGGGGAGGAATGGGCGAGCGCAGTCGGTTCTCAGCCCGAGCAGGATTGTGTCTTGCTCCACGCAGTCGTCGCGATGGGTGGACCTGCGGGGCGGGGCTCTGGGGTATCAGAGCGGGATTCCAGGAGGGGGAGGCGAAGGTCAAGGGGAGGAGGGGAGTTAAGCAATGTGGACATGGGGGTAGGGGGGTAGGGTCAAGGGAGGTGGGTGTGGTGAGCAGCATCAGTATGAGCAGCATGGGGAGGATCCCGAGTCTGCACAAGCATGAGTTCGGAAGAAAGAGTTGGATGAGGGAGTAGGCATCGTAGCAGGGTGGTGGAGAGATGGAAGTGAAGGGACGTGTAGAAGGGATGAGCACAGCAGGCACAGGCGCAGCAGCGGGGTCAGCACGAGCAGGAGCGCTGGGATCATGAAGATCAGGTTGATCATCCGGATGACGATGGTTTGACTTGACCTAGTGTTCTTGTGTGGCCCTCGGCGCATGTGGCGCCCAGCCGTGCCCCGTGACACCGTGCACAGGTTTTGGGGAGCGGTCGGCGACCAATCACCATGGCGGCTTAGCATTGGATATCTTGACAAAGTAATCCTTTCATCCTTTCGGGGAGGGGGGGACGAGCGCTGGGAGGGGGCTCCTCCTCCTGCTCTCCTCCTCACTCCCTCACTCCCATCCTTTTGCTTCCTTGTAGGTTGGGTGAACGTGGTGTGGCTAGATATTCCACGAACAAGAAAACAGCGGGCAAGTTTCAGAAACGTGCACACCAGCATGTCCGGGCATGTGTTGGGCCGATCGGCTCATGCTATTGGGAGCTACCACGCGCCATTGGCGCGTCGGAGCCTGTCCGTCAGCAGATCGCACCGCTCCCTCGCCCCCCCCCCTGCTCGTCCGATGGCCTCTGCCTGCAGCGCTGTCGAGGGGTGTGGGGAGGAGGCGGTGGCTCCGATCGCGAGGAGGTCCACGATGCCTTCCCGAGCTGGCGATGGGGGATGTCTTGAGCGAGAGGGGGGGCCACACCACCAGGGGGGACCCCTCCTGGCTCCTCCCGCTGGTGGTCCCTGGTGGTGGTGGTGGTGGTGGTCGTGGTGGTGGTGGTGGTGGTGGTGGTGGTGGTGGTGGTGGTGGTGGTGGTGTCGCGTTTCCTTGTTCCTACAGCTTTGGCGCCCAAGGGCCCTGCATCCCCACCGCGCCTCCTTCTGATACGGGCGCCCGGCGATGGCGCGCCGAGCGCGCGGTCCCTGCCACCTTTGGGGCCGCGCGGATCAACGGGCCGAGCCGGGTGGCCCTGCGCGAGGAGGCGCGGCGGAGGCGGAGGCGGAGGAGGAGAAGGGGGCCAGAGGAAGGCCATCCGACCCCAGCTCAACAGTTCAGCTGGCTCGGTCAAGCTCGCGGCGCGGGCGTAGCTCGGCGGCGTGACCCAGGACCCGCGGCGCGGCTGCGGGCGAGGAGATGGGGGTGGGTCGGGGGAGTCAAAGGCACCGATGCCGCTACCCTCGCCCCGTTTGCGCCTTCTTGGGGGCCTCCCGGTAGGCCGCCGTCGCCCCGGGACCGATCGGCTTCCCCGAGAGGGGAGCGGAGGAGCGGAGCGCGCCGCCCGAGCCGCCGAAGTAAGAGGCGAGCGGCGGCGGGCTGAGCCGACGCTGGAGCGCGTGCGCCGCCAGCTGGGGGCTGAAGCTGCTCTTGGCTGGTCGCCATGGCGCCCTGCATCTTCGTCTCGGAGCTGGCGCAGTTCCGTGGGTGGCGGCGGCGCGCTGGGAGAGGCGCTTGCGCGACGCCAGGCGGAAGTCCATGGGTGCCCGCCGAGGCATGGCGCGGGCTACGAGCCAGGAGAGGAGGCAGAGGTGGAGAGGAGGAGGAGGCTCTCGCCTCACCGCCGCACACACTTTGGTTAAACAAATTGCAAGAGCTTCACGGATTGAGGGCGCTTCCTTGTCAACATGTGGTTCTCGCGTTAGCGCCGCGCACATTCTTTTTTAATTTGCAAGAGTTCTGCGGATTCCCATGTTCAACGTGCCAGAAATGGTGTTTCGGAAAAATTCAGGATTATGAGGATGCAACCGTTACGTTGATTCGCGGTGTTGAAGTCCCAAGAACGGTGTTCTGGCACCTGGCACAATTCAGGACCGTCAAAATGCAATTGACAGTTTGATCCGTGGCGTTGGAGTCCCGAGAATAATGTTTTGGCATGCTCATGGTGTTCAAATGGTTGTCTCCCAACGAGGCAGTTTACTCAGTGGAGATGAACCCTAGTAGGGGCCCATGAACAGGGAGCTTGGAAGGAGGGTTTATTCCAACATCGCTCATGACTCTTCTCTTAGGTTTACACTGCTCCTCCTCCTCCTCCTCCTCCTCCTCCTCGCTCCTCCTCGCGCCTCCTCGCTCCTCCTCCTCCTCCTCCTCCTCCTCGTCCTCCTCCTCGTCCTCTTCCTCGCTCCCCCTTGCTCCTCCTCCTCCTCCTCCCGCAGCCGCCGGCGACCCACGACCGCGGCAGAGGGCGGCGGGCGACGGGCCGCCCGGCCGCCGGCGTGCAGGCACTGGGGCCGCCACGCCGGCCACCACCGCCTCCCACGGGGAGCCGCAGGTGCCCGCCGCGCTCCGCCGCGCGCGGCTGCGCGCGGCCACTCGCGCGACGACGACGACGACGACGACGACGACGACGACGACGGCGACGGCGACGAGGACGACGACGACGATGACGACGATGACGAGGACGACGACGAGGACGACGACGATGACGACCACGACGAGGATGACGACGAGGACGAGGACGACGACGACGACGACGACGACGTTGACGACGACGACGTTGACGACGACGACGACGACAGCAAGACAAGACAAGACAAGCACTCATAGAGTCCTTTGCAGTCTATCCAACATCATTGCTTAGAACTCTGGGCAGGCTGTTACGCAGCCGACAGCATAGATCATGGAAAGCAGATGCGGCCACGCTCTGCTCTGACGACGACGACGACGACGACGACGACGACGACGACGACGACGACGACGACGACGACGACGGCGACGACGACGACGACGACGACTCTACCGCTGGCCCTTGCGACTCGCAAGGTGCTGGTGTGACTGGTGCTAGTATAGGATATTGTTATTGCGAGGGGGGTAATGGCATCGATCGTCTGCACCTCACGGGTTCCTGGTTGGGTTCACTCTCCAGACATTTCTTCCCATGCACGGAGGCTGCTGTCTGGCCGTTTGTGTCGCCGCCGAGTCGGAAGAGGGAGATGGTGGCATCCCTGAGATCCTGGCGTCGTACTTTTGTTTGTGTCGGGCGTTTCCGCCAGGCTTGGGGCCCCGGGACCCTCGCAGATCGATGCGGCTCGAGACATGGCGCAGACAGCTGGGATCTACAGCTGCGGTCGTGATTCTTTGAAAACGATGTTTCCCAGGGATTGCAGCAGGCCTGCGCCCCTTCCTGCTGGAGGCTCTCGCCCCGAGAGACCACGGGTTGGGGGTGGGCATTCCTGCTCCGGCCGCCAACGCCAGGCCGCCCCAGCCAAGGGAGGCCCAGGCCTGACAGCAGCAGCGGCCTCTGAGAAGCGACGAGGGAACACGGGTTCGTCTTCACCGACATTTTCTCTTACCCTCGTAGGGTCGCGCATCAGCGCCCTCCTCTCCAATGTGGCGTGCCGCGCTGGCGGCCCGAGTTAGCCTCCGCGCAAGGTCGCCATACCATCCCGCGTAAGGCCCGCGTTTTTTTCTCGTCGCCCGCCTGCCTTCTCGGAGCCCCCTCTCGCCTGCTTCGAATGCCGCCCGCCTCGCGCCCCCCCCCCCCTGATGTAGAATGCAGCTCTTGGGAGGTTGCATTCAGCAAAGGCGCTGGTATACCTGTGGTCGAAAACCTGCCCAATCTGGCTCAACCCCGTTCCCGCTTGAATCTGGGCTAATCTGGCTCAATCCCGGGCCTACTCCAGCCGTTTCATCGCCGTCAGTCGGTATTGCACTGACTTCCCAGGAGTTGCCCCCAAAGTTGTGCAAGGTCGACATCGGTGACGCCTGTTGCAGGGCGGCTGGGAAGCGGACAAGGCTAGGACGAGGAAAAGTCCATGTCAGAGCGTTCAGACACGCACTCAGAGCGCCCCGGAACGCTCTGAGAAGGCCGCGGCGTCCGAGACATCCTCCAGAGTCGCCGGATCTCAGAGACTCTCGATTTATCTTCACCCGATGTTATCCTCGTCCTGGCTTCGTCTTAGCGAAGTTTGCACCCCTGCGGCGGGACGTGGGGCTAGAAACTCCCCGACCGCCCTGGGACATGCGTCCCCGGTGGCAGGAAAGCTGGGGGCCCAAGCCCGAGGCGAGACGCCAGAGAGGCCCAACGTGGCAAAACAATGTATGGAGACGATCTCCCTAGAACATCGGGCGGGTGGTCACAGGAGGTGTCCTCAATGAGGTGTGGAGAAAAGGGCCCTATTTCTGGACCTCTTTTCCCACCATTCAGGTCACCCCCCCACTACTATCCGCCCGAGAAAAACTCCCCTTCGCCCTCACACGTGAACCCATGGTCCGCTCCTGGGGTGCACTGTGAGCAGGCGATCGAGGGGTCTCCGGCCGTCATGACAAGAAGCCCCCCTGGGGCCAGAAGCAAAGATGAGACGTCGAATATGATGGATCTTCGCCCCTCCATGGCGTTGCACTCTGGGCTGAATCTGGTCCTCCTTCCCAGTCCCCCAGCGTCGTAATATGTTTAAACAACGTGGACCCCTGCAGGTCTTTACCCATCCTCCTCCAGAACTGTGCATTCTGGGTTTACTGGAACTCAGCTGGAACTGCTTCTCCTGAGGAGGAGGAAGGAGGAGGAGGAGGAGGAGGAGGAGGAGGAGGAGGAGAAGGAGGAGGAGGAGGAAGGGGAGGAGGAAGAGGAGGGGGAGGAGGGGGAGGACGAGAAGGAGAGGGCTGAGCTGGCTAGACGGCGCTGCACGGTGCACCCACGCCTGACGCCGAAGCCAAGGGTGAAGTGCACAGAAAAATTGCGGGAAGGGCCCGCATTGCAGGTTTGGTTGACAGCACATCGTTGCGCGAAGCTGCGGCCTCCCCTGAGCACATGACCCCCGCCCACCCCGCATCGGCCAGACAAGTCGGGTTTGCAGCCCCATGCCTTGCTGGCCTCTGGGCGCGTTTCTGCACGGCCACTGCCGCCGCCGCCCCCCCCCGTCAGGGCCACCGACTAGTGTGTCGGTGGCAGCGACGGTGGCGGTGGTCGACGCGTCCAAGCCTGGCAGCGTAAAAAAACAGACTGCGATTTCCTCTCAGTCGGACGGGGGTGGCATCGACAGCAGCAGTGAGGGGAGAACAGACCGACGGGGAGAGCAAGGCAAGACAAGACAAGACAGGGGTTAACGCCCGTGCGAGCGGACAACAAAAAAGACTCGTGTGAATTGACCCGACGGTGCTGCACGGTGCACCCACACTTGGAGCTGAAACCAAAGCTGAAGTGCACAGACAGAGAAATGGAAAAGGCCCACCCTGCAGGTTTGGTCGGCAACGAATCGTTGAGCGGTGTTGCATCGCCCCCAGAGCACAGCCCCCCCAGAGCATCAGCCAGACGAGTCGTGTTTGCACGCCCATGTAATGCTTACCTCTCGGCGTGTTCCGGCATTGCCACCGCCGCCGCCACCCCTTCGTCGTGGCCACCGACTCGGGTGGCGGCGACATCGACAGCGGCGTTGACCGACGCGTTCAAGCCTGGCGGCGGGCAGAGCCACTGGGGGAGGGCAACGGCAGCATGGAGGGGAGACTAGACTGACGGGGACAACAAGACAAGACAAGACAGGTGGAGCAGCCGTGCGAACGAAAAAAACTGTCTCGGGCGATGTGGCCCGGAGTCGCTTCGCGGTGCCACCTGAAGCCGAAGCCGACGCCGAGATGCGCACAGCGGTGAAAAGGGCCCAGCCCACCCTGAAGGTTTGGTCGACAGCACATCGTTGAGCGGTGCTGCAGCGTCCCCTGAGCTCAGCCCCCCCTCCCCCAGAGCATCAGCCAGGGAGTCGGAGTAGCACCGTCATGCCTTGCTGACGCTGGGCGCGTTCCAGCAGTGCCATTGCTGCCGCCACCCCCCTCGTCAAGCCACCGCTTCGGGTGACGGCGACAGCGACAGTGACAGTGACGGTGGCCGATGCGCCCAAGCTTGGCGGCGTGCAAGGCCAGACTTAGAGGA